CTGAAAGTCCCCTCACCTCTGTAGGAGGGAGGTGGATCTGTTGGGGCACAGAAGGCAGCTAAGGGGCAGAAAGGGTAAAGGACCCCTCCTAGCAGTCACTTGTCCCCATGCCCTGTCTGCAGGTCCCTCCCCACAAAGTTCTCAGCAACTCTGGAATTCGGTGTAGCCATAGAGAATGTAGACTTCAACACTCCACGCTAAAGCTCCAAGGGACCAGACACAAATTGGTGGGGAATTCAAGTTCTTCTCAAGTACTTGCTAATAGTCTAAACTTGAACCTCAGACAAAATCTAGACCTCCATATTCTCTATCAACTCAGCAGCTGCCCAGCTCAATCAGCAATCCCTTTCAGGTGTGATTGGGGTGCTCAAGAGGGCCCTCCTGTCCCTCTGGAACAGCTCAGTCCTGACGCCTGGGCCTGTTCACAACTAACCCTCTACCATCACTGCCCTGAAGTCGCCGCCGCCACTGTCCCTGTTTTCTTCACCAAGGTTCCAGGCACACAGTGATCAGGACCGGCTTCTAAGTTCCAGAACACTACAGTGTCAACTGCTCCCAGTCTCCCCTGGTCTTTCTCTCTATTTCAGGATAAGGGTATATATCTCTTAGATGACACAGGTGGAGAGGAAAGATGTGGCAGGTTGGATAATGGCCACCCAAGATTCATCCACACCAGTCCCCCATGGCCTGTGAACACTATCCCACTGGCAAAGCATTCTGTGTAGACAAGTTATATGAAGGCTCCTCCACGACTCAATCACCCTGGATTATCTGAGAAGGCCCAATGCGCAAACACAGGGCTTCTGTAGGGAAACCAGGAAGCTCAGAGGAAGGAGAAGCTGCCAGTGTGGAGGCAGACAGGCAGGCCTGAGAAATACAAGGGGCCACATCCTCAAAACGAGGCCACCTCTACATATCCGTATGGCCAGGAACCCTGGGAACCTCCAGAATTCTAAGGTGGCAAGTGTATGCTGTCCAAGTCTTTTAAGTTCCACCTGTCATAGCAGCAAGGGGGGATAAACCAGTACAGGTGACACCCACAATGCGGGAGCTGGCGCAGAAGCATGGGGCCAACTCGGTGGTGATGAGTTACAACGGCGGCCTCTGGAGAACTCTGAGCACCCGGCCACGTGGCACTGCCCTTTCCCCAGCTGAGCTGGCCTTGGCCTTCACGCCCTTGTTTGCCAGGACGCCCACCTCCAACCCCTGGCCCTGGCCTTAGTGACATAGCTTAACTTGCTCCCTAGCACTGGGTGGGGATTACGGCATTGCTGACGATGGGTGTGTGGGGGTGGGGGCCTTGGGGAGGATTCTGGGAAAGAACAGAGTCCTGACCTTGTCCTCTATGTACTGGAGGAGATGGTCATGTACACCGACATCCATCCGTTAGGCAGGTCAGAATGTACGAGTATGGTGGGGCAGGAAGGAAGCTACAGCAGACCTGAGCTCCTAGGAGAGCTTTCCCTGGCTACACCCTTAGTACCCAAGCATTACAGGGTGTGCTGATGAAGACTCATCACCGCCCTGGACCAGGTGGGTCCTCTTAGTCAGGAGACAGCCAGCTATGATGCCACATGCACTCATACTGTCAACTGACAGGCCGGTGTTCACCCTACTCTGCAGATGGAAACCAAGACACAAGCAGGCAGACCAACCCTTAGCCACAGGCACCAAAAAGCCCAAGCCTTTTCTATCACATAGGGCTGTTCCCTCAACTGGGAAACCAGGGCTTGCTGCAACAGTACAGGTAATGAGGGAAGCAGCTGGGTGGACAAGAACAAAGACATATAGGAAGTGTCACAATGAAACCTCTCTTTGCATACTAACCAAAAATTAAAAAGCAGATCAGGTAAAGTATGTTTCCTCTAGGGCAGGCTGGTATGGATAGCATCTAGCAACTGAAGCAAAGAACAAACCTAGGTAATGGTCTGGGTTTGAGGACTCACGGGACCCTGGCAGGGTGGGGAACCCTGCTCTATCAAGGACAACTGTGGCCATGCACAATTCTCTTCCCCTTTTCCTCAGTCTTGTTTTCCATAACCAAGTTAGGGGCCTCTGGGATGCCAGGCTTTCTTCTTAGCACAAAGCCCCAGATTCCCTGGGTTCTGCCCAGGCATACCCCTCCAAGTACCCCTCCCCACTGCTGCTCTGGGACTTCCTACCCAGGGCTTTGTTACCCGGGAGCTGTTGCCAGGTGCTCTGTGGCCCCCAGAGAATTCCCTCATCCCTTCCTATCCATCAGAGCCAGGGCTGATGCAACTGCCTGCAACCAGCCTCTTCACTCCTCAGCTCAGGCCCCTCCGCACCAGAAAAGAGTTCCAAGCAGCTCCACCCTTATTCCTGGCTCCCCACAGGACTTTGTGTTTCTGTGCTGTCTTTGCAACCTCTCTGATTATTCCAAGTTTACTTTAAAATACCAAATTTGCTGGGCGGTGTTGGCATGCCTCTGAGTTTGAGGCCAGCCTGGTCTACAGAGCAAGTTCCAGGACATCCAGGGCTACAAAGAGAGACCCTATCGCAAGAAACCAAAAATAAGAGCACCATGGGCACTGCAGCATAGTATAGTGTCTCAAAAATAAAACACCTATGGGAAAGGGACCAGGGAAGAAGCATGCAGGAAGCCCTTGGGTCTATCCCAGCATCACCTACAAAGGGTATGGTGCACACCTGTCATCTCAGCACTTGGGAGGTAAAGGCAAGAAGACTCAGTAGTGCAAGGCCATCCTACGCTACACAGCCAAGTTCAAGGCCAGTCTGGAATGCAAGAGACTCTCAAAACCAAACACACACACCCCTCTATGGGGTAGAGATGTAGCTCAGTAGAAGAGGGCTTGGCCTATTAAACACAAGGCATCCAAATTCAATCCCTAATGCATACCACAAGAAAAGGAAAATAAAAAGTGGAAGACGTGTGATATTCTGAAGGCATGCCAGTGGAGACAGGACACACCCACTTCTGTATTTGCAGCAGCCTTCCTCTCAGCAACCAGCTTAGGCACACTCCACACAGACTTACTACAGCCCCATAGCTGGCAAGTAGGACACAGTCTGAACACCAATCATGTGGCTACAGAACCCGTGCTCATACACTGGCAGCAGACAGAAGAGTGCTCACTCCAAGGGAAGATGGTCAGCTCCCAAGGCCTTCCTTCTTGTTATTTTCAAAATCAGCTTTGCCCACCTGCTTTTTTTTTTCTTTTACAATACCAGATGGAACCCAGGACCTCGAAAGCAGCACTCTACCACAGACCTACAACTCCAGCCCATTATAATTTTTTTTTTTGGTAAATTCCCTTGATGGGCTAAGAAACTCACTTTCTAGTCCAGGCAAGCCTTGGACTTTTGAAAAATTACACTCTTATTCAGGATTCAGGCATGCCACCACTCAAGTGCAGTGGAGGTCAGAGGACAACTTTCTCAGTTGCTTTTCTCCTCCGACCACGCATGTCCTGAGGACGGGTCTCAGATTGTCAAGTTCAGAGACTACCACTTGAGCGATCACTCAGCGACTCAGGCCTGGCCTTTAAATCTTTGCTTTCTTAAAAACACCTTGAACTCATGAGTCCTTCTGCTTCTATCTCCCAAACACTAGCATTACAGGTAAGCACCAACCCCAGTTTATGTGGTGCTGGAACAGAACCCAAGGTCCAAGCATTCTACTGAGCTCCATCTTCAACCCTCAATTTGGATCTGATTCAGTCTCTCAGCTGCTACAAATAGAGAGATACAGATGACCATGGTTCACGCATCAGCCTGGGAAGGCAACAGGGCTTCTTATACTAGGTGGAAAATAAACGTCCTATTTCAGACAGGGTAGGAGAAAATTATCTAGTGGGCTCAGCAAGAGACCAAGAACTGAAAGGAAGTCAGAGCAAGGGGCAAAGCAATGAACCATCCGATGAGAGCTAAGAGGTCAGCAGGGCTGAGCACCAGCCTGCAGAATGAGAACTAGTGGAAGATGGCAAAGAGAAACCTTGGGAGGTGGGCCACACACCATCAGATGAACGTTGGATGGCTAAGGGTCTGGGTGGAGAGACTGAGTTCACCCCAGGATTCTTTTTTTTTTTAAAAAAAAAAAGATTTAACTATTTATTATATATACATATTCTCATTACAGATGGTTGAGAGCCAACATGTGGGTGCTGGGAATTGAACTCAGGACCTCTGGAAGAGCAGTCAGTGCTCTTAACCACTGAGCCATCTCTCCAGCCCCCACCCCAGGGTTCTTAACTAAAACAAAATACACCGAATAGAAGAAGTAGGAGAAATGACTCAGCGGGTAAAGGCTGTCAAACATGGTGACCTGAGTTCCAGGTCTGGGACCCACATGGTGGGAGAACCGACTCCTGAGAGCTGTCCTCTAACCACCACACACATACACAATAAATGTGAAAAAAAATGTTGAACTAAGCGCCCTGTGATTAGGAATTCGTGGCCTATTTCCCATAGCTGCTCTATTTGTGCGCTTATACACCTATCTACAAACATTTTGGGGACATTATCTTGCTGTTCCTGCTTTCAACTCGGCCATGAAGCCTCAGCTAGCTTAAGCTCGCCATCCCACGACAGGCGCGACCCACGAAGGCTCTCAGGGGGAGAGATCGGTTGGGGACTGGTGGCAAATTCGCGAACCAGGGAGAGAGAACGAGAGAGGAGCTGGTTGCGGGTGTGGAGAGACGGGGTAGGATCCCATCAAACGAGGAGATCGAGCCCGAGCCCTCCGCATGAAGCATGCGTCCGGAGGGTCCGGGCGACATGGCGGGCCCGGGGTCGCCACCGCCCCGTCGGGGCCACGCGGGGGCGGGGCGCGGAGGGATCCAGGCGGCCCGCGCTGCGCCGCCCCCAGTATATTTGTCCCCAGGCCCCGGGGCCGCCTCATTCTCGATCCTCTCGGAACCATTTCTCCTAGCGCTCCCGCCACGCCGCCTCCGCCCGCTCGGCCTCCGCCATGGCTCTGTAGCCGTGATCCCGTCGTGCCCCGGCCCTGCTTCCGCGCTCACCGCGCCAGCACTCTCTGCTCCCACCGATCGTTCAGCCGAGGCCGCCGCCGCCGCCGCCGTCGCCTCTTCTTTCCGCAGCCATGGAGTGAGTAACCGCTCGCCCCTCCCTCTCCAACCGCCTTTCCCGCCCTTTCACAGAGCTCGCGGGGCTTCACGGGCCGACCTCGTGGGGGGTGGGGAGACGAAGAGCGAGGAACCACGGTCGCGCAGGCGCAGAAGAGGGGAAAAGGGTGCCCGGCGGGTCCGCTGAGCATGCGCACTTGGCTCGAGTCGTGGGGGAGGGTGTGCTTCCGGAGAGTTGGGGGGGGGAGTGGGGGAGGCTTAAGGTCGGCTCGCGCGCCTGCGCGCTACTTCCCAGCTCCTTTTCCTCCACTCAGAGGATGCGACCCACACCGTGTTGCGCACGCGCATTAGCCCACCCGAGGCCTGAACTACGAAGGGCAGCTGGTAGTTGGCTAAACATGCGCACTAGTGACGCAGCAATGGACGGCTTTCAAGGACTGAGCGTGCGCTTTGACGCTTGGCTAACAGGAGAAAGGAAGGGTGGGGTTTAGACAGCCCGGGGAGGCGCTGACTCAGGCCCAGCTCCCCTCCAATCAGGCACCTTCTAGGGCGGGGACTGGCTTAGATTGACAGGGAGGACAAGGCTTGGGAACGCCTTTAAGAGGGGGTGGAGCTAGGACCCCAGGGGCGGCCTCTGGGGACTTGCTAGTTGAGGGCGGGAACTGAGGGAGACAGGCGAGTGGGCGGGGCTTCGTGGAGTGTCTGCAGAAGTCACCTGAAATTTTGTGGGAAGAGTGGGGTTTGAGAGTGTGGCACTGATGAAGGGCCCAGGCGTGGCAGAGTTCCCCTGGGAACCCCTGTGGGGTCGGTGGACTATAAAGGGAATGTAACCTAGTGGAAATACTGATGCAGAAGGGACCTGGCTAGAAGAAAACTCCCCTGGGAGTCAAACTTTTTATGAGGAGGAGATGAGGTGGGTAGGAGGGGCTGGAGTAATCCCCTGGGGAAACGCTGGGCTTCTGTGCTGAGGCTCGGGAGTTCCCAAGAATTCCCTTGGGAATGTGTGGCTCTCTGGAATTTGGGGAGAGAAGGGAAGTGTGAGCGGCCTGTGGGTCAAACAGGCTTTGACCCACCCTCACCCCCTCCTGTCTCCCTCACAGGTCCTCCACCTTTGTCTTGGTGCCTGTCTTCACCCAGCTGAACAACCTCCCAAGCTGCCGCCCCACTGCTGGTGCAGCCTCCATTGCCCTCGGTGCCCTGCGCCTGCGCCGCAGCCATGTCACTCCTGGCGACCCTGGGGCTGGAACTGGACAGGGCCCTGCTCCCAGCTAGCGGGCTGGGCTGGCTCGTAGACTATGGGAAACTCCCCCTGGCCCCTGCCCCCCTGGGCCCCTATGAGGTCCTTGGGGGAGCCCTGGAGGGCGGGCTTCCAGGGGGGGGAGAGCCCCTGGCAGGTAAGAATGCTGGAGGTGGGGGAGGGGGCAGAAAAAGGGAAGAATTCATTCATTCACGAGATCAGTACTGAGGGCCTGCAGTGTGCCCAGCACGGTTGTAGGTGTTCAGGGTTCAGAGCAAGAGATCCCTAAGCTCATGGAACATCAGAAAACAAAAAAGAAGAAGTGGAAAACAGCACTGAGCTGAAAGTGATGGAAGACCTAGTTGAGAAGTCAAGTAGCCTTCTCCTTAGCATCTGAACTGAGGGCTAAGGGATGAGAAGAGAGGAGCCATGATAAGACGAGAGTCAGGGGCAGACATCATTCTCTTCTGACTGTATAACCGATGATTGGCCCAGACTGGGATTTCAGCAATTAATGAGTTGCTGCCCCTGGTGGCACAAGCCTGTCGGTCCCCCTGTTCAAGGGGCTTCTCATCCTCTTGAGCCCACAAGTTGCAGGCCAACCTAGGCTTCTCAAAAACAGAAAACAAGAATGAATAGATGGAATGTGAGTGAGAGAGAGAGAGAGAGACAGACAGACAGACAGACAGACAGAGCAGCACCCTGGGAGAGAGGCAGAAGGATCTGAAGTTTAAAACTGTCCTCAGCTACAGAGCAGGTCCAAGGCCAACTTGGACTACATGAGACCCTATCTTAAATAAATAAATAAATAAATAAATAAATAAATAAATAAATAAATAATAAAGTCGATGAGAGAAAACAGGTGGAGGGTGCCGTCCACCAGCCCTACAGAAAAGAGAATGATTATAGAAATAATAGCTGACTTTTGTTGGGTGGATCATTAGTTGGTTGACTGCTTCACTGAGTGGTTGGCTGATTATTTCATTGGTTAGTTGGTAAATTAATTGCTTGATTGGCTGACTTGATTGGTTGACTGATTTGACTCATTGGTTGGCTTATTGATTGATTAGTGAGTTAATTAGTTTATCAACAAGTTGTCTGGTGAACTGTTTGATTGGCTGATTGGTTGGTTGACTGGTTCATTGGTTAGTGGGTTAGCTGATTGTTGGCTGGTGAACTCTGGTTCACTGGTTCATTATCTACTTCATGGGTTACTTGGTTGGCTACTGAACTGGATGGTTGGCTGACTGGTTGGTTGCCTCATTCACTTTTAGTGGGTTAGTTGGTTGGTTGTTTGGTAAACTATGGTTGACTGGTTGGTTGGTTGGTTTGTTCATTGATTAATGAATTGGTTGCTTGGTTGATCGGCTGGTTTGTTGTGTGATTGGCTGGCTATTGGTGCCTGGTTTGTTGGTTTGTTGGCTGGTAGATTCTATGGCTCACTGATTAGTTGGTAAATTCATTGGTTAGTGGCTTGGTGGGTAAGCTAGTCGGTCTGTTGACTGCTTGACTAGTTAGTGGGTGTGGGTGTGTTGGTTGCCTGGCTCACTGATTTCTGCCCTGACTTACTGGTCTGCTGACAGATCTACAGATTTAATGGCTGGCTAGCTGGTCACTTGTCACACTGAGTGGATGGGACATGAGTGAGCATCAAGTGGGTAAAGGACAGACCTCAGGGGCCTTTTATGTCCCCCTTCCATCCTCAGGTGACGGCTTCTCTGATTGGATGACTGAGCGGGTTGACTTCACGGCCCTCCTCCCTCTGGAGGCCCCTCTGCCCCCAGGGACCCTCCCCCCACCCTCTCCAGCCCCCCCTGACCTGGAAGCCATGGCGTCCCTGCTCAAGAAGGAGCTAGAACAGATGGAAGACTTCTTCCTTGATGCCCCACTCCTCCCACCACCCTCCCCGCCACCACCAGCACCCTCCCTGCCCCTGCCCTTGCCCCTGCCCACCTTTGACCTCCCTCAGCCCCCTACTCTGGATACCCTGGACCTGCTGGCTGTCTACTGCCGCAGTGATGCTGGTCCAGGAGAGGCAGGCTTGGCAACCCTGCCTGTCCCCCAGCAGCCGCCGCCTCCTCTGGCCCCTCTGCCTTCACCGTCCCGCCCAGCCCCCTACCCTAGTCCTGCCAGCACCCGAGGGGACCGCAAGCAGAAGAAGAGAGATCAGAACAAGTCAGCAGCTCTCAGGTACCGCCAGAGGAAGCGGGCAGAGGGCGAGGCCCTGGAGGGCGAGTGCCAGGGGCTGGAGGCACGGAACCGGGAGCTCAGGGAGAGGGCCGAATCAGTGGAGCGGGAGATCCAGTACGTGAAGGACCTGCTAATCGAGGTGTACAAGGCCCGAAGCCAGAGGACCCGCAGCACCTAGGGTGCAGGTCCAGGCTGGAGGAGGGAGATCCATTATCCCTCTGCCTCCAGCTTTATTCCAACCCTCCCTTTCACTCTCCTATCCCATCCATGTGTGGATCTCCCCACCTACCCCCATTGTGGGTTATTTGGCTTAGTCAGTTTCTGTACCCCTTCAGTGCAACTGAGGAACCAGGGCCCTCAGGGAATTTGAGGATCCAGCCTGATCCCTGGTTTCTGGAGTCTAAAACAAGTGTGTTTTTCGCAGGTAGTCCTTAGTTGGGTGTGGGGGGTTGCCAGGCCTGGCATGGAGGTAAGGCAGGAAGCCAGTCAGAGTAGCTGTGCTGCTGAGGACTTTAGTCAGGGAGGGGGGTTTTAAGACAGGGACATGGAACACCAATGAGAAGGCAGCCAAGGGGAGGGAGCCAAGTCCTCAGAGCAGGAGATCCGCCGGCCAGGGGAGAGGAGGGTGGCTGTAGTGGGTAACTAGGGGTCATTTTAGCTCTGGAGAGAATCAGTGTTTTGTGAAGGTGTTGGGGAAGGGTTGCATCTAGTGGGGCTGATCATCCAGGGGTTATGGGCACAAATAAAGTGCAGAATTTCCTGTGGCCTGTGTGTCTTGTCTTGGAGAGGGGGTCTCAGGGAAGTCATAAAGCAACTGAGACTAATCCAAAGACTGAGACCAAAGCTGTACGGTATGTGCCCAGCGTAAGAGAAAGAAAGAAGTCACCACTGTAGTCCCAGCATTTGGGAGGCTGAGGCAGAAGGATTGCTGTAAGTTTGAGGTTGGCCTGGGCTACAGAGTGAGCCCACCTCTGACGGAACAGTGAAGCCAAACAAAAGGTAACTGGTAATATTTACAAGTACATCCGCTTGGCGAGACCAGGCGTGACGACACAAGCGCCGTGCCGTGTTGAGCCGGCCGATTACTGTTGCCATTGGTGATCATAGCATGTACACACCAAGGATGCCGTTGAACTGCAGCAGCGGCCGTGCTCGCCCAGCAAGCTTGAGGACCTGACTCAGTTTCCAGGACCGATCCCGAATAACCAGCTAGCAGCTGACAGTGCACACTGCTCTTCCAGGAGACCCGAGTCCAGTCCCCAGCAGCCACCAAGCAGTGTGGAGGATAAAGACTGTCAGTGAAGTCACAGTTGAAGGAAACCGAGAGACTTGGAGGGAAGAAGTGTCCTAATGGGACCGTCTGAGGAAGCCGCCTGGGGTCAGACACATGGTGCTGTGGGCCCAAGGAAGGAAAGGTTCTGGAGAGTGGGCTCCCCAGAGCTCTGGGAGGGAGTCAGTCTTTAGGGTAAGCACCTGCCAAGTCCTGTTCGCTTGAGGGATCTTGGTTCCCATGGTAACTGGCCAGCCAAGAGGTACATTTGGGTTAGTATGGATTATACTGGCCTTGCGGAGCCACCTAGCATCAGTTTGACCTTTTAAGGAGTTGCAGACTGAGTACTGGGGTCACCCACAGGAACACTGGAATCTGCAGCAGGTCCCAAATGACCCCCTGGAGAGCTGACAGTGGTCCTGTGTGGGGTCTGCACTGCCGCAGGAGACTCCAACAGGCACTGGAGCTGCTCTTAGCAGGCCACCTACCTACCGGGCCACCTTCGTGCACCCTACCCAGATTCTGCTCTCAACTCTCCCAATAGCAACAAATGAGGTCCACTGGAACAACTGGGTGAAACCCCGTCATGGCCTGGAGAAGCCCTATGCAGCCGGTGTCCAAGAGGGTCCGGGTCCAGTCTGAAGCAGATGGCTAAGGGATGCTCAGTACTGTGTGTGCAAAGAAGAGGGAAGAAGGGGGGGTTAGACATTTAGGGGAGAGTGAGGAACAACAGGGGAGGCCAGTGTGGAGCAAAGCCTGGGTAGGGCACACTGGCCTGGGTGGCCTTAGCCCAGGGAGTGAGTGTGGAGAACAAGCTTGGCCTGGGGATAATCCTGGTAACCAGGTTTAGGACTGTGTCCATGTGCTCTTGAAACAAAAGCCTCTTAGGAGGCTGGGGATCAGGCTCAGTTGGGAAAGTGCTTGCCAAGCAGGCACAAGGCTCTGCGTTCTAACCCTAACCCTGCACATACCAGGCCTGGCACACCTGTAATCCTAGCGCTCTGGGTGAAGGCAAGAGGATCAGGAACCAAAGTCTATCTTCAGTTGTAAATTGAATTTGAGGCCATCCTGGGTTACATGTGATCTTTCAAAACACAGAAGACTCTGGCATCACAGGTCTCTAACCTGTGTCGCTGTGGTAGGTGGTGGGCTTCTTATGCAGAAAGGCCCTGGAGAAGAGGGTGTATCCTTCCTCGTGACAGCTGCCTCCCTGCAGCTGTTCACCTTGAGAAAGGCGGCTGCTCAAAGCATGGGAGACAGATGCCCCCGCCCCCCAACATCCATACCCACAAAAGAGCAAAGAACCAACAGAAGCTGGTGTGATAGAGGGCTGTATGAACTAGGAACTCTCAAAGGGACACTGGAACCTTCCTGCTGGCTGGCATCTAAGGAGGGCCCTAGGTTGCTCTAACCCTCTGGTCCGAGGCCATCAGCCAGCTTTGCATTGTGCGGTGCACCAGCTGAGCTCTGTGGGATTCTTAGGGCTTCCCTGCAGAGTAGTGGGTTTGTGAGGTTCCTTATACCCCACAACCCTCTGTCCAGGGGATGGCATGGGGTTGTAGGCCCCCAGCATGGGGCGTGAATGTCAGGCAGCTGTGTCTGTTCTGGAGGACAGGAGGAGAGGCCAGACCCCAGAGGGGGCCCCGAGTGAACCTCTGAGACACACTGCCACCTTGAACTGCTCACTAGAGGCCCCTCTCTGTGTCTTCTCCATTCTTGGGGACAGCTATTATCATGAGCACAGAATGCTGGTAACTGTATTGTACACTTCACTCTCAGGGGTCAGATAATACTGTCCACTGTCCCTTTCTGGGTGTCTGAGATGCCCAGGGAGCAGCTTTAAGCATGGAGGTCCCTGAGGAGGTGGGAATGGAGTTTAGTCTTTTTTTTTTTTAAATATTTATTTATTTATTATGTATACAGTGTTCTGCCTGCATGCCAGATCTCATTACAGATGGTTGTGAGCCACCACATGGTTGCTGGGAATTGAACTCAGGACCTCTGGAATAGCAGCCAGTGCTCTTAACCACTGAGCCATCTCTCCAGCCCGAGTTTAGTCTTTTGAATTTCCTTCTCTGCGTTTTTTTCCCCCCACAAACACCATTCACTGTAGGTGAATTTTTCTGTTCCTCCTGCCAGCTCCCAAATCATGACACAGAGACTTATTATGAAAGCTTGGTCAATATCTTAGACTTGCTTCTAACTAGCTCTTATAACTTCAATTACCCCATTTCTGTTTATTCACGGTCTGCCTCGTGGCTTGATTACCTTTACTTTGTACTGCCATGCTGCTTCCCTGCTTCCTCTGCTGCTGGCTGGCCATTCTCCTGGTCTCCACCCTTCTTCTTCCAAGCATCTTCTCTGCCCTGAAAATTCTGCCTAGCTATTGGCGGTTCAGCTTTTTATTAAACCAATCTGAGTGACAAATCTTTATAGTGTACAAAAAGATTATTCCACAACACACGACCAAAAGAAAGTTGGAGAGGAAAGGGTTTATTTGGCTTATACTTCCACATCACTGTTCATCACTGAAGGAAGTCAGGGCAGGAACTCCAACAGGGGAGGATCCTGGAGGCAGGAGCTGATGCAGGGGCCATGGAGGAGTGCTGCTAAATAGCTTGCTCATCATGGCTTGCTCAGCTTGCTTTCTTATAGAACCCTGGACCATCAGGCCAGGGATGGAAATCACCCACAATGGGCTGGGCCCTGCCCCATCAATCACTGATTAAAAAAATACCCTACAGGCATTTTCTCAGTTGAGGCTCCCTCCTCTCTAGTGACTCTAGTTTGTGTCAAGCTGACATAAAATGAGCCAGCACAACTGACCCCTTGTCAACTTGACACACAAACACTACTACTAAGCCACACCTTTGCTTTCTTTAGTTGTTTTTGTTTTTCAAGACAAAGTTTCTCTGTGTAGCTTTGGAGCCTGTCCTGGAACTCACTAAACGAGGCTAGCCTCAGACTCACAGAGATCTGCCTGCCTGGGCCTCCTGAGTGCTGGGATTAAAGGCGTGCACCGCCTGGCAACCTTTCCTTTCTTATTCATTCCCAAGATCTCACATCAATAGTATGACAATATAAAATATTCAGAGTTAGGCCAGGCGTAGTGGCGCACACCTTCAATCCCAGCACTCAGGAGGCAGAGGCAGATCTCTTGAGTTGGAGGCCAGCCAGGTCTACAGAGCGAGTTTTAGAACAGCCAGGCATACTCAGAGGAACTCTGTCTTGAACCCTGCCCCCCAAATCCAAACTTTAAAAGTCCCACAGTCTTTGTTGTTGTTTCTTTTTTTTTTTTTGAAGATTTATTTATTTATTATGTATACAGTGCTCTGTCTGCATGTATGCCTGCAGGCCAGAAGAGAGAGCAGCCAGTGCTCTTAACCGCTGAGCCATCCCTCCAGCCCTTGTTTTTTCAAAACAGTATTTTGTAGCAGGCTTTCCTTTGGCTACCAACCACTTCCCAAATCATGACATGGAGACTCATTATTAGTTATGAATGCTCAGCCTTAGCTTACGCTTGTTCCACTAGCTCTTATAACTTGTTTTAACCTGTTTTTCTTCATCTGTGTTTTGCCCTGGGCCTTTTTACCTTTCATTCTGTATGTCCTACTCTGGGTCTGTCTGTCTGGCAGCTGCCTGGCTGGCTGACCCTGGGCATCTCCCTTTCTTTCTCTCTTGTTCTCTCTCCTCTCTCATTCTCTCCTCCTACTTACTCTCTCTGCCCTCCAGCCCCGCCTATCCCTCTACTGCCTAGCTATTGGCCATTCAGCTTTTTATTAGCCCAATCAGGTGCCTCAGGCAGACAAGGCAACACATCCTTACATAGTTAAACAAATGCAGCATAAACAAATGTAACACATCTTTGCTTAGTTAAACAAGTATTCCACAACAGGGTTTCTCTGTGTAGCCCTAGCTGTCCTGGAACTCATTCTGTAGACCAGGCTGGCCTCAAACACATAGATCCTCCTGCCTCTGCCTCTCAAATGCTGGGATTAAAATTGTGTGCCACCACTGCCTGGCTCAAGTCCCACAATCTTTAAAAAGTCAAACACAGCCAGGCGGTGGTGGCACATGCCTTTAATCCCTGCACTCGGGAGGCAGAGGCAGGTGGATCTCTGTGAGTTCGAGGCCAGCCTGGTCTACAAAGCGAGATCCAGGAAAGGCACAAAAACTACACAGAGAAACCCTGTCTCGGAAAAAAAAAAAAAAAAGTCAAACACTTAAAAGTTCAAAATCTCTTTAAAACGTCCAACTTTCTTTTAAAATCCCAAATCTTTGTATTACTCCAAAATCTCTTTTAAAGTTTAAACTGGGCTGTGGTGGTGTTCACCTTTAATCCCAATACTTGGTCTACAGAGTGAGTTCTAGGACAGCCAGAGCTACACAGAGAAACCCTGTCTCAAAAAGCCAAAAAAAAAAAAAAAAAAAAAAAAAAAAGTAAAATAAAAAATAAATACTTCAACAGGGAAGAATCACAGTCGTAATCAAATC